GTGAGAATCACATCTTTGCTAGAGCCAAAACTTAAGGGAACTATTTTAAGGATTTCATTATAGGTAATTTGGTTATATGGCAAAGCAACTATCCTTGTTCATATACTATAATTTTCTTTTAATAATCGGAAAATTTTAAAAATCTCCAAGTTAGCATGAATGTTCAGACTATGTGTGCCAGTTATTTTGTTTAATGTGGTCATATATTTGCTTTTTCTTAACATAGCACTGACATCTTAAGAATCCTTGCCAAGAAATAGACTTCAGTAAGGAATTTAGTTAAAGGCTTCTTTCACTTTCTTCTGAGTGTTAGAAGGCTAACGTTAATCAAACGTTTCTTTGTTTTTCATTTTGGTCTTTAAATTGAAAGGATGTTTACTAAGGGGAACCAAGTGAAAACTAAATCTGCACTTTATAAAAATGCATAGCATGAATAACATGTTTATTTTGTGTCTATTTTGTTCTGAGTCCAATTTGCTACTTATCAGTTTTTAAAACCACAGATTCATTATATTGTTAAATGCAATTATTTTTGATACTTGATAAAGATTTGGGTGGTTGACATCTCTCCTCCCTTTCATTTCTTATTAACTCTGACTAGATGTGGCACCGTGAGCAGAATTATTGAAAAATTGCAACCAATTAGCAAAAAGAATACTTAAATTGGACAATTAAAACCTTATCTCTTGGTTTATTTTGTAATTTTATTCTGTAAATTATACCCCCCAAAAGTTGGGATTTGGAATAATTTTTCCCAGAAGTCTCCACTGCAATTTCAAATCAGACCTTTTCTCTTTCAGAAACAATAGCAGCAAAATGTTAATGTTTCCACGTATTCGCTTTTTTATCAGCCAAAACCTACATCATTTGAACATTCTATACATTCATAGTGTTCTCTTTATTTAACTCCATTTTAGTAGAGTCATCACAGTATCATATTCCAATTTTTTAAATTTTTTAATTAATTTATTTTTATATTTCAAGATTTACTTCCATAAGCTTTTGAGTTTTAAAATTTCTTCCTCTCCCTCCCTGCTTCCCTCCCCAAGATGGCATGCAGTCTGCTATAGGCTCTACATATATATTCCTATTAAACATATTTTCACATTAGTCATGTTGTAAAGAAGAATTAGAACCAATAGGTGAAACCACAAGAAAGAAGAAATGAAACAAAACAGAAGGAAAAAAAGAGCAAATAGTATGCTTCAATCTGCATTCAAACACCGTGGTTCTTCCTCTGGATGTAGATAGTGTTTTCCATCATGAGACTTTTGGAGAAGTCTTAGATCTTTAAATTGCTGAGAAGAGCTAAGTCTATCAAAGTTAGTTATCACACGATGTGGCTGTTACTGTGTACAACGTTCTCCTGGTTCTGCTCACTTTACTCAGCATCAGTCCATACAAGTCCATATTCCAATGTTTTAATAAAGTGTAAGGAAACCAGATGATCCTGGTTTCTCAAAGGTCATGTTAGTGATGCTAGCCATGCTACAAACTCTGGTGGATTCTAGCAATCTATCAAGGCTTCAGGTATGGTCTTGGAGACAGACTGTTACCCAGGGATAATCCCAGGTAGGTTCAGAAAGGCTCATAACAAATAGATTGGCTAATTAAGTGATGAATTCTTTGACCATATCACATGGAATTCATACTAGAATCAGCTGTTTGTGTGTAGTCAGATCAGCTAGTTAAAAGACAAGAACAAAACCCTTGGAGAATTAGAAGAAAGGTAAATATGAAAAGACACTATGAACAATTAAAGCAATTCTATTCAGAAAAGCCATTGATGTCCAAAAATGGAAAGTGGAAAAGGCTATAACTATTTTTGGTAGAAATTTAAGCAGTGAAAAACCACAAGAAGACCAAAAGGGCCAGGAAACCACCATAGCCAATCCAATCCAATAAACATTTATTGAGCACCTACTATGTGCCAGGAATTTGCTAACCACTGGGGATACATTTAATAAAAAGAAAGCCAGCACATACTCAATAATTTTGACATTTAGAGGGAAGTGGCAGCCTAGAGCAGCACCAGTTTTAGGGTACAATCTCATTTGTAAAACACTGATAGCATGGTGTACTGGTGAGAGCTGGCCTCGGAGACCTGAGTTTAAATCCTGCCTCTGACACATACTGGCAAATCACTCCACCTGACAAGATCGCTAGGCAATTCTAAAAGACTGTAAGTTGCAGATTAAGGTGCTGTGCAGCATTTGTTGAGGGAATTTCTTCATCCTGGAGTTGCCTGTATAAGTGAAAGCACCAGTTAAATCCAGTCCCTATACTGGATAGTTGAGCATAATTGAGGTTGATAGAAGATAATTGAAGCATAGTTGAGACCAATATCATGTCATAAAATAGCAAAGAACAGGAGAAGTAAAAATGAGTTAACAGAAAGCTTTTCAATGCATTCAACTAATTTCTATCATACTCAGAATATTTATATATTAGCAGGAGGAGAAAAGGTGATGGAATAGATTGGTTAACATTTTTATAGCAATCTCCCACATGAGGGTCCCAATGGCCCTAGGTGCCTCCAATACTTTGTACTGATTTTCCATTTATTTATATGTTTACATGTTATAGACTAGACTATAACCTCCTTGAGGACAGGAACCATTTCATTTTGCATCCCCAGTGACTAGCAAAGTGCCTGGCACATAGGCACATAATGCCTACTGATTGATCAGCCATCAAAGACAATGAAACCATTTGGTTTCACATTTGGATCAAATACCTCAGTCCCTAACATGCTTTATGAGAAGATGAGCCAGGTCAGACTAAGAATTCAGAGAAAAATATCTGTGCTGGAGGAAAGACTGATTTGAAAACACTGGAGAATCATTTTGCCAGGTCTATCAGGGAGAGGATAGCAAAGGACAGAAATCATCATGGATAATATTTACTACCCCAAAAAGATGATTGAAAGGACATATAGTAATTGCTGGCCTATACTCTTACTTCCTTATCTTTACAAAATCTTTGTGAGACTGACCTTCACTCAGTTGACTTAATGGTACAAAGAATACAAGATGCTATTTAGATAGCTTCAGACATTTATAAAACACTTTCTATGTGCCAGGTCCTGTGCCAAGGACTAGGAGTACAAAACCAAGGAAGACAAACCTTTGCCCTGAAGGACATGGCTGGGATGTGGCTTAAAAACCTGATTCTAGCCAGGATAAGGTAAAAGCTCGCTTAACAGAGGTCAGTGGCCTGGGTGGAGTCCAAAGATGGGAGGTGGGGAGATGGGAATGATGGCTGGAATGGAGGCAGCATGATAGGGGCATGGACAGGAAGTGGTATGGAGGCCTGGCTCTGGTAGCTGTTCGGTATTTTAAATGATTTCCAGCTATTCCTTGACACAAAACTTCATTTATTTAAAAATAAAAGTTTTGCAGTTTTGCCTTTTGTACTGCATGTTATTTTTACTTTAACTTTTCCCTTTCTTGAACACTTGCTTATAAGAGAAAAAAATTTAAGGAAAATCAACTAACACACTAAGTACGTATCTATCCTATCTTCCACATCTGTCATTCTTCACTTCTCTACTTAAGGAGTAAGATATGTTTTATCATCAGTTCTCCAGGACAGAGGTTAATTATAATTAGAACTTGATCACTTTTCAGTGTTATATGTATTTTACAATATTTAGGCACTGTGTACAGTATATCATTCTCCCTGGAATTTGCAAACCTTAAAGCATCATATAAATGTTGACTAATTCCCTTGTTTCTCTGAATTCCTTGACACGCATTCTTTCTTGTGGTGTGGCAATAGTCTGCTTCGTTCATTTACCACAATTTGTTCAGCCATTCTCCATCAATGGGCAGTCTGTTTTCAGTTTTTTACTATTGTAGAAAGTACTGCCATAAATATTTTGTTATACATGGGATACCTTCCTAAATCTTTGGCTTTTGGGGGGAGAGGACATATATATAGCAGTGGAATTGCTAGATCAAAGGGTATATGAACAGTTTAGTGATTTTTCTCACCTAATTCCAAATTATTTTTCATAAAGATTAGACCAATTCACAGTTGCACCAACAGTGTCATTAACATGCTTGTCTTATAGTTCCTTACCTCCAAACCTACTATTTCCATCTTTTATCATCTTACTTTGAATTGCATGAGAAAACCCTCTTTAAAATACACACACACACACACACACACACAATCAGTGTTCTCCTGGTGATACTGTGTGATTGTAAATCTTTGGAAGAATATAAGTTTGCAGCAATGACAATCTAGTTATAAAAAGTGGCATAAGGGCAGCTATTCAAGGAATGTGTGGTCTGAAATGAATGTAGGCTGGTTCTGTAGGAAAAGTGAAGGATACCAAATAGCTCAATTGCTATACTGGTACCCAGTAGATAGAAGAACTAGAAGATGACCTCCAGCACCCTGGGCAGGTCTTTCTGGAAGCTCTATGGAAGAACATGGACAAAAATAATATAGTATGAGAAGACATAGAAGGCTTGTAATCTGCACCATTATGTGAATCTCAGCACTGGCAAGGTCACTGATCTAATTAAGTATAAATACTGAAGAGAGAGAGAGAGTGTGTGTGTGTGTCACCCTGACCAAGAATACGCTGAACTGGTATGTTTTACCCAGTATAACTATAGCTCTAGATCTTCTTTATATAATGGAAAACTTTTTGAAGCTTCTCTTGTTTACCCGTAAAAGTTATCCCTCTGGATCATCAACTCTGTGTTTAAAATACTGACTTAAATAGAGTTCATCAGTTTGGCAAGGTCTCTGTTACATGATTTCACAAAAGACAATTTGTTCTATAGCATGAGTTGAGTACCCTTCTTTCCCAGAGAGAAGAAAACTGTTGCCTGTTTGGTTATTAGCTTGATGGGTGTTTGGTGTTTAAGCATATTGTTACATCTAATCTCAAGTCAAAATCATAATTTATAAAAAGGAAATTAATGCCATTAACAGTATGTCAGGGATGGTGAGCATTACTAATCTACTTTTCAAACACTGAACAATAGGTTTTATAAAAATTTTAATAAATAGTAATTTCAGAGGAGTATCTATAAAAAAAATTCCATCACAGGACAGGTACAACCTCTTGGGGGTTCAATGTGTAAAACTAAACAAATTCTCTCCTCTCCCCAACCCTGTGTTTTTTTTAAATATACATACATATAAACACACACACATATATCTCCCACCCAATGACAAAAATATACTAAATTTGTTTGACACAGTGATCTGATTCTGATTCCAGCCTCCCAAGTAAATGGAAACTGTGCTAGAGCCAAAAAATGATATTAAGTGCTGGCTGAGGATCCAGCTAAGGCAGAGCAACTTTGTTCTTTCCTTCAAGCTCTCTATTGGTGTAAAGTATCTTGATCAGCTAGGTCTCCAGACAGTGAATGAAAGTGACTTCCACAGCTCTTGAGGTTGATCCATATCTCAAAAAAGATTGCTATCTGTGACATACAAAGACCCTAAAGCTTCACTGTTATCAATTTCACAGAGAGAAAAGGCATAGACATATAAGCCTGGAATCTTGAGAAAATAGTATTTTAGGGGAGGGACTTTTTTGGGTACTCAGGTACAGGGTTGGTCTGCTCTAGCTTCCTTCTAATTCTAAGCCTCTGTGAATAAGTTCTGTGAGAAGACAAGCCATGTTGAAATTTCAAACTGGTCTTTAAAGTCCTCTGTTATAAAAGAGATCTGTTTCCTCTGTCAAGGACTGGATTTTTGGTTCTAGAGAGCTTCGCTGTATCTGAAAAACAAAGACAAATTAGTAAGATTTATGATATAGTTTCTTTGTTGCCCTAGAAATGGAGGTAAATAAGACAAAGCAAAACAACTTTGTTATTTTATAGAGATACTTTATTTCAAGCTTAGCCTTTTACAAGTCTCACAAAGACACCATGACAATGTTTTAAAACATACTAATTAAGATGCACATGAAAAAAAGTCCATCTTAAAGCTATATTAAATTTTTGGCCTTTTCATGTCTATTTGATAGTATACCATGCTATTAACTAGTATGTTTTAAAATGTCACAGTGTCTTTGAGAAAGAGTGTTCATCATTGTGAAAGACTAAACCTGAAATAGAGTATCGCTATAAAGAACAAGGTTTTTTTTTTTTTAAATCTCTACCTATATGCTCTATCTAGGATTCATTACTTCTAAAACTTATTAAAACTTTTTGGCTTATTTTCTTGTTCACATAAATATATTTTACACATTTATATATAAATAGCATGTATATTACATATACATTTATATTTCATGTTCCAAACAAGAGTTCACCAGTAAGATGGCAACCTGTATGTAGCTTCCCCTGTTATAGCCATCCAGGATCTTGGAAGTCAGGCTGCCCTCAAGTGTAAAGCAGTTTAGGTCACTGGCAAAGGCCTGACTGGCCACATCCTAGAGTTCCTGCATGGTCCCACAGTAAAGCAGAATTAAGTCTAGGTGCCCACGGTTTGGGGCAGTGTCTTGGGACAAAGATGACAGTGGTGGGCTTAGGTTCCCCCCAACCCCATCATTTATGTTCCTCTCTCAATGCACAGTTGCCATGAAACTCAACCACTGCATCCATTCCAGGGGTTGCCAATCCATGTTCTAGGCTGAAAACGTTTTGGGGGTCTATGAAATCAATGGCATGTCTGTTAGAGGCTGTATTAGGGGAGAACTGCTCAAGAAGCAGTGAGTGACTTCTAAGGAGGGACAGGGTCAAAAGAGAGAATAGAATAAATGGGGGGTGGGATAGGATTAAGGGAAATATACTTAGTTTTTTACATGACTACTATGGAAGTGTTTTGCATGACTACACACATATAACCTGTATTGAGTTGCTTGCCTTCCAAATGAGGGTGAGTGGGGAGGGAGGTAGGGAGAAAATTTGGAACCCAAAGTTTTTTGGTTTGGGGTTTTTTTTTTTTGGCAATTGGGGTTAAGTGACTTGCCCGGGGTTACACAGCTAGTAAGTATCAAGTATTTGGTCTGAGGCTGGATTTGAACTCAGGTCCTCTTGACTCCACAGCCAGTGCTCTATTCACTTCGCCACCTAGCTGCCCCCTGAAATAACTTTTTTAAAGCAGTATTTGTCTTTTTCTATAAAAATTGAGATGTAAGATTTCTACTTTTTTGAAATGAGTCTGCCCCGAAGGTCTCTAGTTTTTTAATGGACTAGATCCTAAAGAAGTCAGTGTGTGAAATGCAAAAGTACCCATCTTACAAAGAGGCTTTTATATCCAGAGGTAGTTAGGTAACATAGTGTATAGTGCGCTAGACTTGGAGACAGGAAGGTCTGAATTCGAATCCTGTCTCAAACACTTATTAGCTACCCTCAGCAAACCACTCCAGTCTTTCTCAATCTGTTTTCTCATCTGTAAAACAGGGATAATTATTGCATCTAATTCACAGTATTGTTGAGAGGATCAAATGAGATAATACGGGGTGTCTCAAAAAGTCTTGGTGCAGTTTAAAGCTATCAAAGCTTAAAGTATAGTATAAGTAAGACACTTTGTACACCTAAAGGTGCTATGTAAATCTGAGCTATTTTTATGGCAAAAAGTACTGGATCTGCCTTCCTTTGCCAGATAATCACTGACATTTACAGGGATAAGAGATAAGAGCTGCATTTAATTGGTATAGGGAACTTTCCAGGTAAGGAGACTCCCTCCAACAATGAAGGCTGGCTTCTTCTGGGCAACTTAGATGTCAGAGAATAGCCTAGAGCAAAGGGGTCACACCCATGGCCCCTGGGTGCATGTGGCCCACAATACTCCCAAGTGCGACCAAGCCAGATTAAAATGTGGTGCCTATCTGATTTTCATGTGCTGACATATTAAAAAAAATTGTAAACACATGTGGTTTTCTAGATCAATAGGCATCCTTATGCAACAAGAGGGGATTGACTTGCTTAAGTCCCATGTCTAGTTTATGTTGGAGATAAGACTTGAACCCAGGTGTTCCTGGTTCTGAGGACAGCTCTCTATCCACTACAACACAGCTGCCTCTCCCTTTTTCTCCCTCTCTACTTCTCCCTAACAGTCATGTATACATGCATATACATAAATGTATACACATATGCATACATATATGTATATACATATACACATACTACATATACACATGTCTCTATACTAATGCATTATATATTAAATTTACTATCTATAAATGTGCTTTATATACTTTACATGTACTTTAAATATACTTTAATAAAAGTACTCAATGTACTTTAAAGTTTTCAAAACACTTTACAGTATGTGATCTATTTGGTCATCAAGAGTCATGTGAGGTAAGCAGGTATCTTTACCCTGATTTTATAGATGAGGAAACTGAGGCTCAATCAATAAGCATTTATTACATATCTACTATGTGCCAGGAACTGATAAGTGCTGGGGATTCAAAGAAAAAAAAATGCAACAGGCTGAGAGAAGTTACTATGACTTGCTTACAGTTAAACACATAGAATGTGTCACAGATGGGCATCAAACTCAAGTCTCTTCTGGTTCCAAGTCCAGCACTCTTCACTATGCCACATGATCTCCCAGTAATGCTATATTTAAAAAGCCTCTTATGCCTATGCCTATGCCTATCCCCTAAAATGAGCACAGGAGCATCACAGACATATGCTTCCTCCCAAGAGTGTTAATAAATTCTGGCTTTCCTCTTATCCCCCATCCCCAATTTCACTTTGATGGTAGATATAAATGACATAACATTCAAGATCACCATAACACGATTTGCAGGGGGCTGCACTATGGAGGAACTGCTGTATCAAGCCTCTATTATGGTCTTCAGGGAATTAATGAATGTAATAATGACCAGGGGCAGCAAGATGGCACAGTGGATAGAGTGTAGGGTCTAGATCAGGAAAACTCATCTTCCTGAGTTCAAATCTGACCTCAGACACTTACTAGCTGTGTGACCCTGGCCTCTGTTTGCCTTAGTTTCCTCATTTGTAAAATAAGCTAGAGAAGGAAATAGTAAATTACTCTAGTGGTTTACTATCTTTGCCAAGAAAACTCCAAATGGAGTCATAAAGAGTTGGACATGACTGAAACAATTAAACAACATGAAGCAATGACTTGCAGGTATAGAAGATGGAAATGGAGGGAGAGATACCTAGGAAAGTCAAAGGAATTTAAGATGCCACACACTTATTCATTTTGAAGTTTCTGATTCCTTCAATTCAAATTAGCAAATATTTATTAAGCTCCTGGTATGTAGAAGGTCCCAAATTAATTGATAAGAAGACAATAATGAAATAAGATAATCTCTACTCTCCTGAGGCAGGACTCAAAAAAGGTTGAATTTAAGTGATTCTCATTAAATATTCAAAAGGGACTTACCTGTCCTGTCTGTGGAAACAGACAAAATGAAACTGGTACCATCAATCCCATTACCAGAAGAGTCACATTTAACTTCATGACCATCAGAAGCTTTGGATTTTGACGGACAAGGTTGGTCCTACGGAAAGAAAGTTATACCTCCTAAAGCTTGCTACAAAATTATATTAGCTTCTGAAGCAGGCATTTTACAGTCTGACATAATGATATCAGAGTCACTAGTTTTATCAACTTCATTGCTATTTTATTTGAGTCTGTTCCCATAGCCCCACCAAGCCCCACCAAATGATGTATACTGTGGTCCTAGAGTTATATTAGGTAACCCCATGTTCTGACCTGCTGCCTTCTTGTTGCTCATCTAGCAGATGTTGGGGAACACTTTCTCAACCAGAAGGCCCATCCTGAAGGAGAGGAGGAAGGATGCACTGGGTGGAGCTCCAAATAATGAGAACCAGCAGGTTGGATGTTTTTAAAAGGGTGTTGACTCATTAAAAAGGCAGAGTAGCCAAGGAAGGCACGGATATATCTCGGGTTTCTAGCTACATTCTTTTAGGGACAAACTTTAGTAGTCAGAGTATCAAAAAGTCCTTTTTCTCACATTTGTTTTTGATAAGGGAGGTAAGCCCGCCCATTGAGTCTGCTGGAGATCATGTGGTCTCCAAAGTGAGGACTAGGAGATGGTATGGGTATGTGGCGTGACTCCTGATCTCACCTCTAACTGCTAGTGCCTCCTTCCCAAACTACCTTGCATTGAACTACATTATATTTATTCTATTTATAGAGACACATTATATACATATATGTATATATACATATGTATATATAGATACATACATGCATATGTGTGTATATGTATATTGTCTTCTTAATTAAAATGCAAGTTTCCTGTGGCTGGGGATTATTTATTTTTTACATTTTTATCCCCAGTTCCTAACATAGTACCTGGTACACAGTAGGCATTTAATAAATGCTTGTTTATTAGTTGTTTTGTTTCTAACAAAACCACATCTACCCATATTCCCCAGCTCTTCTCCTACTCTGCCCCTCTCTTTATTGTGCAAGAACCCAAAATTCCCTCTCCTGAATCAGACATCAGCCCCTCAGGGCAAATATAAGCTAACTACTACATAGATGTCCACAGCAGCAGGTGGTGCAGGGAAAAATCTCACATCACACAAACACACACACACATACACCCCAACTCCCCTGGCACACACATTCCCTCCCCTCACCAGATGTCCTCATGGCTGCAGCAAGTGCCTCTCAAACAGTGGGCATTGATTAATGAGGAACTCTTTTCATCTTGAGTGGGACAAAGTAAATTATAGAGGATAATCTGTCCTGGATGGGTCATGGTTTTCATAACAATTCATTACATTATCTTCCTTCCAAACCCATCTCTCTTCCAAACTTCTTTGTTTCTGCTGAAGGCACCACCATCCTTCCAGGCACCAGGTTTACAATCTTCACATCATCCTCATTTCCTCACTCTCCCTCATTCCACACAGCTAACCTGCTGCCAGATTTCATTCTTTCTACATCCATGGACATCTCTTGCATATGACCCCTTTTCTCTATTCACTTAACCATCATCCTAGATCAGAGTCTTTTCATTTCTCAACTGGACTATTCCAAAAGCTCCTTAACTGGTCTCCTTGCTTCAAGTCTCTCCTCTTTCCAAATTATCCTTCACATTGCTGTCAAAATTATTTTCCTAAAATGCAGGCCTCACCATGTTGTCTCCTTACTCAATAAACTCAGTGTTCTCCTGCTGATTCTAAGATCAAATGTGATACCATCTTTATCTTTTCCTTATTAAATTTCTATTTTGTGTAAGTTTTATAATACATGTGTATTTTATAATACTTTAATTACCATATATACTTTGATATTATTTTATTTTTTATTTATATTTTATAATTTAATAATTATACTTTAAATACTACAATAATAATTTAAAATACAAGTGTAATTTATAAATAACACACACACATATTAGAGTATGTACTCAAAAATTTTTTACTGGTAGGGATGTATAATTGGAAAACTCTGGAGGACATTAATGTAATCTAAACTTATCATTTTACAATGAGGGAAGTGAGGTCAGAGAAAAGATGTTACTTGCTAAGACATCTAGGTGTGACAGAGATAGTGCAGTGATAGAGCCAGCATCCAAACCCAGGTGCTCTGTCTTGAAATCCATGGTTCTATATATTCACTATCTCCCCACTCTCCAACTTACTCATCCCAATTTTAACTGGTTTTGCTATTCTGAAAAACTGGGGAGGGGGAGAGGGAAAGGAGGAGGATGGTACTGAAATAACTTTTTTTTTTTAGCTAGGCAATGGGGTTAAGTGACTTGTCCAGGGTCCCACAGCTAGTAAGTACTATGTGTCTGAGGCTGGATTTGAACTCAGGTCCTCCTGAATCCAGGGCCGGTGCTCTATCCACTACACCACCTAGCTGCCCCCTGAAACAACTTTTTAAAAGTATATTTGTCTTTTTCTATAAAAATTGAGATGTAAGATTTCTACTTTTTTGAAATGAGTCTTACTTAGACAGCAGTGAGTTAGCTCTTACCTTTCCAAAAAGTATGAAAAGACACTTGAAAGAAGCATTGAAGTCCCAAAGAGCAAACCTCTAGACAATGCGTTTCTCCAACTGCCTAAAGAAAGTGCAAAGTAAAGTCAGGAAGCTATAAAATTTTAACACTATTCTAAAGTGACAAATTCGGGGGCAGCTAGGTGGTGCAATGGATAGAGCCCTGGCCTTGGAGTCAGGAGGACTTTTGAGTTCAAATTTGACCTCAGACACTTGACCCTTACTAGCTGTGTGACCCTGGGCAAGTCACTTAACCCCCATTGCCTCAGCAAAAAAATAAAGTGACAAATTTTAAGCATCAGATCCTCTATCTTTTTTCTTCCTCTAAAAACTTTTGGTTATAATGGTCACCACTAATTATAGCCTTCAAATATGAAAAACAAAATGCCTTTGTGAAATGAAGGCAAGAAAGGAACTACACCATAAATATTAAAGTTTAACCACAATGGTTAAAGCTCACAGCCTTCTCTTCAACAAAACCTTTTCAACACACACACACACACACACACACACACACACACACACACACACACAAATTCCTACCTAAGAAGCAGTAAGAAAACCCCCAGGGTCACTTGTCTTGGGAACTTCTTTCTAAAAGATTTACTTAGAAGAGAAGGTTGGGATCATTTAAGGTCCAAAAAGCTTCTAGTGGGATAGAGTTAAAATCTTCTCAATTTGAAGTACAAAAGAGAATAGGTAGAGAAATGCTACTGTTCCCCATCTATTGTGTTGGCCATCTAAACTAGCACTGCCTGATCTACCACAGCCTGGCACAATGCCAACTGTATTTGAAAAACAAAATCTCCTTGCACTCACAGAGATAAACATGACAATTATAATTCATATCAACCAAATATCAGAACACAAAATGCAAAGTAACATACTGGAGGAAGCCGGGAAGTGGATAAGAGGAGAAAGACTTCCTCTCTCTTCTCAAAAAAGAATATTCAGTCCTTTGCCTGAAGTGTTAGCAGATAGGAGAGCTCTACAATGGTCCACCTACCTTTGCCCCAGCTTCCTGTGACAATCCTACAACATTCCCATTCTTGTCCATGACTCGAATTCCATTCTGGTACTCATGGCTTCTGCTCACCACCACATTAAATGTACTTAAAAAGGCTGTAGTATTCAAAAGCAAAATAAAACATGGAGATTGCTTTCTAGTCAGCTAAATTTACCTGGGACATAATTTTGTCACACTTAGAACATGTCAAAATATTCCAAACAGAGATTTGCAGCAGGAATAACTAAATCTACACTCTGGCCAACCTAAGAATTCAATGAAATAACTATTTAATTTTCTTATGTTGCTTGTGTTTCCAGTCAACTGAAATATTTATCTTTTTATCAACCTTAGCTATACTGCAAATTAAGTCATTGCTAAAGAGAAAGAAAAATCTCTGAAGGACTGACAAAACACTTAAAATATGAGGGAGGCTGAATATTACCCATATCCTCCACCTCCCATGGAAAATCCATGGGATTTCTTTTAAAAATATGAATTTAGAGAGGATTCTGGGAAGATGGAGGAATAGGTTAGAAAACTTTCAGTTCTCCAAATTTCCTAGACAAAAAGAGACAGAACCTTGCCTCAGAGAGAACATAAAGCAGTGGAAATAACAAGTTAGGGTTAAGTAGTTGTTCTCCTAAGACAACTTGAGAAGACTCCCCCACACCCACACCCCATCCCATCCCCACCCCACCCCAGTAAAGACCTGACCTCCTGGGAAGGAGGTTAAGCCTGAATGAAGTGCAAATACCTTCAGGCTGACTCTGCAGAATCAACAACGAGCCCTGGAGGCACCTGGGCTGGGTGGCAGCCTCAGCCTTAGAAACTGTCATTTCACCAATTGTGGGGGAGGGGAGGTAAGGGGGGGAGTCTGATGGCTGAGGAGGAGAAGATTGAAGGCCCTTCCACTGTCGAGGGATGCCAAGCACAGCTGTGCTGACCAGACACATCCCAGGCTGCAGCTGCTGGGACAAGGCGCTAGCACACACCTGCTGAGTGTAGCTGTTGGCTGTGGGCACTTGAAGGAGAGCAGAGTCCCTGGTTTCAGTTCCAGGGCAGAGAGGACAGATGTAGTTTGCAGCCACCAGAGGGACTGCAGGGAACAAGATCATCTGCCAGACAGTGTGGCTAGGAGTGGAAAGCTCAAGGCTGGGCCCTGAGACAGTAAAGAAGAACTGGAAACTTGGGGCATTGTTCCCCATGCCTCTGGACTCTAACTTGATTACACTAATAGCTGCTTAAAAAACAACAACAACAACAAAGTGAAAATAAAAATGAATAAGCAAAGGAGAAAGAAACCAACCATAGATAGCTACAATGAGGATAGAGAAGATCTGGGTTCATATTCGGAGGAAGATAATGGATCAAAAAAAGTCATTCCTAGGGGCAGCTAGGTGGTGCAGGGGATAGAGCACCAGCCCTGGAGTCATGAAGACCTGAGTTCAAATCTGGCCTCAGACACATGACACTTATTAGCTGTGTGACTCTGGGCAAGTCACTTAACCCCATTGCCTAGCAAAATACAGAAAAAAGTCACTTCTTTAAATGTCAAATGGTCCCAAGCACAAAAAGAGTTCTTGGAGGAACTTAAAAGAAACTTTAGAAATCAAATAAAAGAGATCAAGGAAAAATTAGAAAAAAAAATTGAGCAATCCAAGAAAATTATGAAAAGAATTACTTGAAATATACAACCAAAAACTTAAGGAAGAAAATAATTCCTTGAAAACTAGAATTGGGCAAAAGCAAGCTAAAGACATTCTAAGACATCGAGAAATAATAAAATCAAAAGAATAAAAAAAATAGAAGAGAATGGGAAACATCTCAACAGAAAAAGAACTGATCTGTAAAACAGATAAAGGAGAAATAATATAAGAACAGTTGGACTACCTGAAAATTATGATTAAAAACAGAATCTTGTTGTAATATTACAAGAAATTATCAAGGAAAATTGGCCTGAAGTTCTAGAACAAGAAGGCAAAGCAGAAATAGAAAAAATCCACCATCACTACTTGAAAGAGATCCCAGGAGGAAAACTTACAGGAATATCAAAGTTTAAAAGCTCCCAGTTTCAAGGAGAAAATATTAAGAAAGGAAATAATAAGGAAGCAACCAGAAAAAAAAAACCAATTTAAATATCATGGAGCCACAATAAGAATTACACAAGACCTAGCAGCTACTATATTGAAGGACTGTAGGTCTTAGAATACTATATTTTGCAGAGCAAAATGGCTAGGGTTACAACCAAGGGTAACTTACCCAGCAAAGTTAACTATAATCCTAATTGAAAAAAAAAAGGATATTTAATGAACTGAAAGACTCTCAGGCATTTGTGACAAAAACAACAGAACTTAAGGGCAAATTCAACATATAACATCCAAGAAAAACATAAGGTAAACATTAAAGACCAATTATAAGAGACTCAATGAGATCAAATTGCTTACTTCTTATATGTAAAAATATTATCAGTACTCTTATGACTGTCATTATTTTGGTAGTTTGAGAAAAAGGCTTGGGCTGAGCTGTATATGAGGAAGTGATTAAAACATAAAACTGTAGGGAGAGATAAAAAGGAATAATTATCTTATACAAATGAGGCATAAAAGGAAAAACTGATACAGAAGAAGCTAGTGGAGAGGGGCGGCTAGTGATGGAATCTTACTCTCATTGGGAAAGAGGGAACAACATATATATCCAGAAAAGTGTAACAGTCTTCTAAATACAGAAGGAAATCAGAGGGCAAAGGGATAGGGTGGGGGGAGAGGATAAGGGAGAGACTCTTGGAGGGGTGGGTAAGAATAGAAAGGCAAAGTAGCAGGTAGAAGTAAAGCATAGGTGTGAGGAGGGATAGGAATAAGGTGAGGAGGACAGTAAGGAAAAATAGGAAGAAGGAAAATAAACAACAAGTAATTATAACTTAGAATGTGAATGGGATGAATTTGCCTATAAAATGGAAACTGATAGTAGATTAAAAATTTGAATTCAACAGTATGTTGCTTTCAGGAAATGCTATAAAAATGAGTGATACACACAAAGATAAAATAAAGGTCAAGAGTAGGATTTATTATGTAAAAAGTGCAAGGGTAGTAATCATGATCTCAGACAAAGTTAAAGCTACAACAGTTTTAATCAAAAGAGAAAAATAGGGAAACTACACTATGTGTCAGCAATATTATTTAATATTGTTTTAGACCATTTAAAATAGCTAGACAATGTAAAATACTTGAGAGTACCTGCCAAAACAGACACAGGAACTATATGAACATAAACATAAAATACTTTTCATACAAATAAAATCAGATCTAAATAATTGAAGTAACATTTATTGTTCATGGGTAAGTAAGGCCAATAAAATGACAATTTTATCTAACTAATCTATTTATTCAACGCCATCTCAATTAAATTGCTGAAAAATTATTTTACTGAATTAGAATAAATAATAACAAAGTTCATATGGAAGAACAAAAGTTCAGGGACTTCAAAGAAAACATGGAAAATAAGATGCAAAGGAAGTAGGTTTAGCAGTATCAGACCTTAAACTATATTATAAGGTGAGAGCATTGTTGAAGTATAAAATGGATAATTTTGATTATTTTAAATTAAAATTTTCTTGTATAAATAAAACCCATGCAGCCAAGTATAGAAGGAATACAGAAAATTGGGGGAAAACTTTCATAGACAATCTCTCAGATAGGATGTGGTTGGGTTGGAATATTGCTGTAGTGTAGGAATGATGAGTTGCTTGATTTAGAAAAACATGGGAAAACTTGGACTTATAAAAGAAGGTGCTATCCACCTTCAGAGAAACAGATGACAAGTAGAAGTAAGTGTAGTATGGTCTTACATATATATGTGTGTGTGTATTTGTATGTTTATAGATATCTGTGTATATATATATCCACATTTAATTGTTGCCTTCTTTTGGATGGGCAGATGAGGGAGGGGGGAAAATTAAGTAAAAAGTGCATAGCAAAAAACAAAAAAAACCCTACAAGAAAGCAAAGAAAAGCTGAGCAGCTTTGAAAACAATGTGTAGTATTTATTATATAGGTTTTCTTGAAATGGAAATGTATCGTTTTATATTGAATCCTTTGTGCTGTGTACATGGCAATGTTTTTCTTCTTTTCTTGTTTTGTATTTAAGTTTAAAATAAATAATAAAATTTATCAAAAAACAGAATTTAAAAAATTTTTGAGGCATTTTTTACACCATAATTACTTCCCAATATATTGCTGCCCACCCAAAGAGCCTTCCTTTTTAACAAAGAAATCCTACTTAGCAAAACTAACCAACACAGTCACTCTAACTGACAGTCTATGTGACTTTCTGCTCTAGTACCCCTAGGAAGGAAGTGTGTTTTACCTGTTCTCTGAAACCAAGATTATAGGATCATAGAGATAGAGCTGGGAGGGACCTAAGAGGCATCAACCAGTCCAACAGCTTCATTTTATAAATGTGAAACCTAAGGCTTAGATGATATGCCCCAAACCAGACAGGTGATAAGTAGCAGAGCTGAGATTTGCTTGGTCATTGCATTTAAAATTTATATGATCAAAAAGTGGGAGTCGGGTTAGAGAAGCAAGATATTTTCTTTCTACTATGATGTTGTGCAAAGTGGTGAAAGAGAAATAGCCCATAAAACATTTACAATCTGAAAGTAGGAAATGAATACAATCTGGGATCTGAACAGGCAGGATATAAAAGGTAGCTTTGTTCTGAGGTCCTTCAAGATCAGGCACAATATAGATAGGAATGGAGTGAACTATCTGTGCAAAGGAATAGGGAGGAAGATGTGTCTCTTTTCATGATGACCCAAGGTAGGTAAAAACGAGCCCACTGCTGTATGTTTCCAGTTCTCATCTACTTACCCAGAAAGGGGATAGGCAATATTTTGGTAACAACATCCTGAACAGCAGATCCTTTTAATGTGTATCGATTCATCAACAAAAGAGGGGATATCTAGGAAACCAGAGAAGAAATATTAAGTCATTATAATTTGACGTACATTTATAATGTACCTACTCTGTACAGAATGTTGTGGTAGGTATGAGAAGAGTTACGAAGCTGAATAATATACAGTCCCTGCTCTCAGGGGCCTTACAGGTCTAGTGTGGATAGAGTTGGGAGAGGGATTTAGCACATACACAAATAATTACAATACAAAACAGAGCTTGATAAATGGAGAAGCAAAACACAGAGTGCTGTATGAGATTTGAGGAAGGAAGGCTCATCTTGGTAGAGGGGTCAGGGTCACTACTAGAGGTTATATTCAATTGGCACTGAAAATTAACTGCACACTTAGCTAGCCTATTTCAACATAGAAGCCATGTGTGAAGCCAGTTGGTTAGGATACTGGTGGAAACATTAGAATTATAATGTGATCATCCTATAATTGAACTATTGACTTGGATGTAAAGACCAAGATTTCAAACAAGACAATGGATAAAACAGTAAAGTACTAGATAAATTTGAATTATTAATATTGATTGTGATTTATGACTTCAGGAGTTCTGAGAAATGATAACAATGACATTGAATTTGTTTTTCTGGTTTCAATGCAGATTTGGAATTTATATTTTATTGTACAATTTAATTTTAAATTCCTTTCCCAGGGTCACACAGTCAGCATGAGTCTGAAGTAGGATCAGTTTTTTCTGCCTCCAAGGCCAATTCTCTGTCCCCTATGCTCTCTTGTCTCTCTCTTATAATATTTCTGAGATTATAAATTGCATAACAGTTACTGAACTACAATAATAGAGGGAGTTTGCCCCTAGAGAGTGCCCTATGTTAATGAAATCACAGAGGAAAAAATAAATTAATCTTACCTACATATGTTTAGAATGCTCTCATATAGTAAAGAGAAAAGCTGCAATTATGATTTTATGTGTGTGTAGAAAATAAGGACCAAACATTTGTGTAAAAAGTTCAATTATGACTAAATATTTTATATTTTTATTATTAATTCATAGTTTTCAAATGAATTAAATGAACCTAATTTCCCAACTGATAAAAATTTCCCCCAAGTACAAAGGAAGCTACCAAATCAATCCCAAAGGTGATATTTTCCCTAACCACAATTTTTTCTTTTTCAGTCCAGACCGGTGATTTCATTCATGTAGGGAATTTTCTATGTGAAACCTTCTTCTTCTGATGCATATTGGCAACTGAGAAGTTAAATGATTTGCCCAAAAGCACAACGTTAATATATGTACGAGTCAGGTCTTTTGGACTTCATTACCTCTTGCAACTCTGGCATAATGTAAGAATATTATTTAAGCTGTCTAGAGATAAACATCATGATAAATATGAAGAATTATGTCAGTTTTACATAAACATCTGGTTTGAGAAATCAGAATGTGATTCAATGGGTCTTAAAAAATACCTACTCCAAAAAATGTTGTAGAAATAATTGTAGTCATCCCAAGAAGTTGTTGTTCAAGAGAGTATTTTGCCTAAAGGGAAAAAAAAATCAAATTACACATTTAGTGGATCACTTATTCATTATTTGTGGATTATAATAAATTCCCTAAGGGATGATGCAAAAATAAGAGGTTAATTGCTTACTTACATGAATTACATTTCCATTTGTTATGCTGAATTCAGTATTATATGCATGGATGAAAAACTGCAGGAAATAATGTAGAGGTATTATTTTTTAATTCAAGCATAAAATCATTTACTGATCATAAAATAGAAACAGCTGTTACCTGAGGGAAAAGAGCAGCCTTTATTCCTTTATATTTTTGCAGAAATAGGAATACCTTGCATGAGGGAAACAAATGGAAAAGTGAGTTCCTTTTACTAAACCCTGCTTACCTCAGCTCGTACATGGACCAGACAGTAAGGGGTGCATTGACATTGTACTGTACTGGAAAGAACAAAGATTTGCAGTGAGAAGACTTGGGCGCAGGATTTTACTGCCTGTGTGACTTTAACTTCTCTGGCCTTAGTTTCCTCACCTGTAAAATGAGGGAATGGACTAGATGACCTTGGGTTCCTTCAGCAATTCAATTCAACAAGCATAGTGTCTATGTTCCAGGAATTGAACTAGCCTTAGCAGTTTAAAAGCAAAACCAAAAATAGTCCCTGCCCTCGAGGAGCTTACAGTCTACTTTTAGCGCTAAGTTCTATGATCAATCTATAATTTGATGTGGCTGAGTAGATTCAGAAGGACACTAGGATAGGGCAAGGTGAGTAAAACAGAATGGAAGACTAACCAACAAATGATATTTATTAAGCATCTCCAATGAGCAAGACAGTGTGCTAGGCACTGTAGGAGAGAAAATGAACAGCACTGTCTCTGCCCTCAAGGTATTTAAGTCTAGTTGAAGAAATGTTAGTCAATAATTGATAAACATTTATTATGCACCTATTATGTGCCAGGTACTGTGCTAAACACAGTGTTTATTATATAAACATAAAAGATAACTAGCAATATACACATAAAGTTAGAGTTGGAAAGGTCTTTGTAACACATGAGGAAACTGTGGTCCCAGAGTGAGACTGTGACTTATACCAGAACAAACAGAGAACAGCAGAAACAGGGCCTAAACCTCAGGTCGCCTCAGTTCTAAGATAAGCTTCTTTCCATTATACCATAATTGCCTCTTAGAAATTATCAAACTAGATAACAAGTCTTTTTTTTCCTACATATTTTAAAATTTTATTTTTAACATTCACTTTTAAAAATTTCAAATTCCAAATTCCCTCCCTCTTGCCCCTCCCCCATCCCTTGAGAAGACAAGCAATAAGATACTGATTATACATGTGAGGTCATGTAAAATATATTTTTATATTAGACATGTTGAAAAAAAAGCAAGAAAAATAAAGTGAAAAAAGTATGCTTCAATCTGCACTTAGAATTCATCAGTTCTCCCTCTGGAAGTAGACAGCATTTTTCATCATGGGTCTTTAGGAATTATTTTATATCATTGTCTTGATTAGAGTAGTTAAGTCTTTCACAAGTGATCATCTTTATAGTTTTGCTGTTACTGTGTGCAATGGTCTCCTGGTTCTGCTCACTTCACTTTGCATCAGTTCAGATAAGACTTCCCAAAATGAAATCATCCTGCTCATCATTTCTTCTAGCACAACGGTATTCCATCACATTCATATACCACAACTTATTCAGCCATTCTCCAACTGATGGACATCCCCTCAATTTCCAATTTTTTGCCACCACAAAAACAGCTGCTATAAATAATTTTGTACATACGGGTTCTTTTCCCTTTTCTTTGATCTCTTTGGGATACAGAGATGATAGGGATATTGCTAGGTCAAAGGACATGCAAAGTTTTATAGCCTTTTGGGCATAGTTCCACATTGTTATCGAGAATGAATGGATCAAGATAACTAGTAATATCTTTCTATTTGCCAATGTGAAAATAAATAGTATGTGGGAATAATTAAAAATTATGCACAATGATGATATCTTTAAAATGTCTATTTTTGGCTACTTACCAAAGGTCCGGTAATAGGCAAGAAAGCTAATGAAGAAGAAAAGGATCATTAGTATAGGCCAAATGCTTTGTAATTAATCGATCATATAAAGGAAAAGTGTGGGAAAGAATAATGAACCTAAAAAAACTTTTATTTCTACCTTGGTTACAATTTTTTTTTCTAAAATCATTGAACATTCAATAGAATTTTGGAGCTGGAATGATCATTGGGGATAATTTAATTCAACGCTTTCATTTTACAGAAGAATATTATGTGACAGTAGACATAAAGTAGTTCATAAGCATTAAAGTGCTATATACAGGGAAGGTATTAGCATCGTTATTATTACACCCTGCTGCCTTTGGACTAGTAGGAGTCCACTTTCATTTTCCTAACTAAGTCCAGTAAAATGAAAACAATGGAATCATTTTGATGATTCAGGATCTGGCAGTACCTCATGGTTATCATTCTGAACTGACCCCATAATGGTTGGTGTGAAGAAAGTACTTTGCAAACCTTAAAGCGCTTTCTAGAAATAAGCTATTTTTATCTCATTCTTCTCATTGTTTTTGAGGGGGCTCAAGGAGAAACAAACTTAGGACAGGTTACTATCCTGCTATTATTCTTTTCTATTTAATATGCTATGGACTATTGTACAGGTGGGTAAGATAAGTGGCTCTTTTGACTTATTAGGCTCACTAAAAGTGTCCTTGGTACAGTTTCAGTAGCAGGCAGGATAACAGGGATGAAAGGCACTTCCTTTGTTCTAGATTTTAATTTCTTATGCCTGGTCTCTATGGTTTGAAAACTTTTTGTCCCATGTAGCTTGGGATTTTGGTATGCTGATACTCACTAAAAACAATGTTCCTAAATTTTTATTGGTCAATGTGATGTCTGGGCAATTGTGAGCAACTGTTCAGTTTGTGATAAAGGTCTGTGCCCACTACAGGTTATTCGTTGAGTTTTCCAGTATATTTTTAGGTCTGTGTTTGTAGTATGTGAGTTTATTTATCTAATCAAGGGTGGAGAACCTGTACCCTCGAGGCTAGTGGCCTCGAGGGCACAAGTTCCCCACCCCTCAGTCTGTTATCGTTCTTGGTTATTCATCTCATTCTCATCTTTTTCATTATTAAAGTTGAGAAAGAAATGATACTGGGAGAAACAAAGTGATATACTACCTTTTTTTTTTGGCTAGGCAAATATGGTTAAGTGACTTGCTCAGGGTCACATAGCTAGTGAGTGTTTTGTGTCTGAGGCTGGATTTGAACTCAGGTCCTCCTGAATCTAGGTCTGGTGCTCTATCCACTGTGCCACCTAGCTGCCCATTTTTACATTTTATAATTTTTTAAACATTTATAATATTCTCTGGACTATTACACATGTGGATAAAAAAATTATGGTTTTTTAAAAAATTAGATAGAAGTATTAGAATGTATGCTCATATAATTATCATCATTATTACTATTATTGTTTAGAAGAACAAGTAAGCTAATCACAACAAACAAGCTGATGAAGCACTTACTATTAATACTGCTAATGAAAATATAATTTAACAAAGAATTTTATTAAAAATATTTCTTTTTAGGATATTCTTAGAGAAACTCTGATGTGGAGGAATAATAAACCTTTTACCACCTAGTAACAGAGGAAAAAATGCAAAAAAAGAAAACCCCTTGATTATAAGTACTCTGGAACAACCAAACTCAGTAAAAGTTTTAATTTTATATTTTTGTAAAAGAGCCAGAATTTGTCTTAAGCTATCTAAGTCTCCATCTAAAGGTTTTACTTAAATTATGGTCCTTAAGTCTTAAGTCCTATGGTTCTTAAGTCTTTGTTTGTTTGTTTGTTTGTTTGTGGGGTTTTTTTTGGTACGGTCCTTAAGTCTTAAGAGGAAAGTTCCCAGCAATGTTAAATTGTTGCTTTTGAGAAGGCAACTCTGAGATGGATGAGATGAGACTCTTGCTAATAAAATGTTTTAGACAAAGGCCTAAGATGAGTGCAGATTATTCCCAATAAGTTATACAGGTGTAAAAAATATTCAATGAGAATTAGTATTTGTCGTTGTTAATACAGGAATTATATTAATACATTATGTAATATATCTATATGTCATTATTACATCATTTATTATTAAGTCTTAATTATGTTAATGTATCAAAGCCAAATGCAGATTCTCATTGAACATTTTAGTACACATACAGACACACACACACACACACATACACACACATAGATGCACACATGCTATTTTCTGTATGCCAAATATCCCCAGGTCCCCCAACTATTCCCATGGTTACCAGCCCCCTCCTTATAAATCCTTCTTAAGAAGGAAATGAAAATTAGGTGGGCAAAGTTTTTTGTTTTTAATTTTATATAGGATTCAGTGCTTGCAACAAGACTTTTGAACATCTGCTGAGGAACTCTAACCAACTCACCTGCAGGCCTAAATAACATAGGAATTACACTCCCAGTATCAGGATGCACTGTTGCCTTTAAGAGAACAAAGAATTAAATGTTTTTTCTCTGAAAGAAGTTATAACAATTACAAAGATTATGTCAGTAAAGCTTTTCTTAAACTTACCAGGCTCTGTTTCCAGGCTTTCTGTATCTAACCCAATGAGAAAAAAAAAAATTAGTTTTATCTTTTTAAAGACATAGTCCCTTTCCAGTCTTCTCTCTTGGCATTTTTGCTACAGTCTCAATAACTGGCTGCCTTTTGCCCTCCTCAGAGATAAGAAAGGAGTCTTTTTTTTTTCTGTTGCGTTCAAAGGAGTCAAAATCAAAGGCAAAAGCATAGTTTGAGCAAAGCAACAGGATCAGAATGTAATAAACCATTCTTTCCAAAGAGAAAAGGAAGAGCTACAGCTAATAATTCTTAAGCCCAGTCCATATTTAGTTGGTAATGGGGTTTCTTTTGCGGGGGGGGAATAAACTCTGGAACACTGACCTGGGAGAAGGGGATAGAAGTCTATCCGTTCTACTGAGGGAAAGTGGAGTTTATTAGTTGGGGGAGGGATGGAGATGGGAGTATTTCTATCTGCTAGCTCATTATTATAATTTATTATTTTTGGCAACTAGTTTTCAAGCTCAGTTGTTTCAACAGTGCTAAAAGAGTGTAAGTATTGTTAACATCATCTTTATGTTCATGCCCAGGACCAAAGCTTTTGATCACCTAATTCTAGTTTTGGCTCTCTTGTACAGCAGACAGGAACAGTATTCATAGCTGATTTTAAAAAAATGATAAATGTCTTGCAAATTATATGTACCTAATAAATTTTGTTGGATTAAATTTTAAATGGTGTCTGTGTTTATTTCTATAAAAAGGCAAATATCAAGTTTTTAGGTAGGAGTATAGTTTATTATAACACTATATCATTGAAGAAATCATATTTGACTTTGGTTTACAGGACATTTTTCAGGAATGGAAATCTTTTCAAACTTTAAGGACTGCCTATATTCTCTCTTTTTAAAAAATTAATTAATTTATTTTTAGTTTTCAACATTCGCTTCCATAAGATTTTGAGTTTAAAATTTTCTCCCTCTCCCTCTCCTACCACCTCCCCAAGATGGCGCACAATCTGATATAGGCTCTATTTATGCAAATGTATTACGCATATTTTTCCATTATTCATGACGTAAAGAACAATTAGAACTAAAGGGAGGAACCACGAGAATGAAGCAGTAAAACAAAACAACAAAGGAAAAGGAGAGCAAATAGAATGCTTCCATTTGCATTCAGACTCCATAGTTCTTTCTCTGGATGTGGGTAGCAATTTCCATCATGAGTCTTTTGAAGTTGTCTTAGATCCTTGCATTGCTGTGAAGAGCCAGGACTGCCTATATTCTCAATCAAGTTTGCCTCTGACTTAAAGGGAGTGCTCTATGTATAGGTGGTCACCACAAAAAAGAGTAATGGCAATTGCAAGTACTGTTCCACATGTCCATAGATGAGCGCTAGTCGCTTGTAGTAAGAGAGAAGTTTCATTTAGTTTTAAAACTGAAATATTTTTTTTTGGTGAGGCAATTGGGGTTAAGTGACTTGCCTAGTGTCACACAGCTAGTGTTAAATGTCTGATGCCGGATTTGAACTTGGGTCCTCCTGACTCCAGGGCTAGTGCTCTACCCACTGCACTACCTAGCCGCCTCTAAAACTGAGATATTTTAATAAATAAGACATTAAAAACATGATGCCTTCATCATTATCTATAGATCAAACCTCAATCAGATATAGTATTCAGAGAGATGCCCATGGTTACCTTGACTCGGTGATTTCCAGGTTTTTGACACATAGGCTACTACATACCTTTTGGTCCTCTGTATGATCTTTAGGTGTCTGTTCACTCCTTAACAGTTCTCTTGCAGCTTTTATTTTTTCCTAATTTAAGAAATAACAATATCAAACAATTATGTCCATTATATTCCATATATTTCAAACATCATAAGATCACAGATAGTTAAAACTGGAAGGGTTACTTAGGGTTCACCTAGTTGTCCCAGGGCAGCTCAAATTTAATATATCCAAAACACAACTTTATTATCTTTCCTCCACAGACCCACTCCCTTTCCTATTTCTGTAAAGGACAATCCCTTTTGTTATTACCTAGCTTCTCACCTCATAATTCTCTTCAATTCTTCCTTCTTCCCAATATACTGATTTTATTCCCACTATATCACTCGAATCCAATTCCCTCTGTCCAGTCACATGATCAGAGTATAGGCCCTCAGCAACTCTCACCTGGATTACTGCAATAGATTCTAATCCTTCTCCTCTCCAATCCATCATCTACACAGCTGCCATTAAAATTTTTAAAAATATATTTTTATTTCATTAAATATTTCCCAGTTATATTTTTGTAATATATTTTATTTTGTTAAATATTTCCCAATTATGTGTAAAAAGAATTTTAACATTCATTTCTAAAAATTATGAGTTCAAATTTTCTCCCTCCCTCACCCTTTGAGAAGCCAGGCAATAGATCAATGCAATAGACCAATGCAAATGCATGAAGATGGGAGATTAATACATGTGAAGTCATGCAAAACATATTTCCATATTAGCCACGTCACAAAAGAAAACACTTCACAAAACCCCCAAGAAAAATAAATTGAAAAAAGTATGCCTCAATTTGCACTCAGGTCGTTAGTGCTCTGTCTGGAGGTAGACAGCATTTTTCATCATGAATCCTTTGGAACTGTCTTAGATCATTGTCTTGATCTGAGGAGCTAAGTCTTTCACGCTGATGATCTTTATAATATTGCTGTTATTGTATATAATGTTTTCCTGGTTCTGCTCATTTCACTTTGCATCAGTTCATATAAGACTTCCAAGGTCTTTCTGGAGCCATCCTGCTCATTTTTTCTTATAGCACTCTAATAGTTTTCCATCACAGTCATATAGCACAACTTGTTCAGCCATTTCCCAATTGATGGGCATCTTCTCAATTTCCAATTCTTTGCCACCACAAAAACAGCTGCTATAAATATTTGTTTTTGTACAAATAGGTCCTTTTCCTCTTTCTTTGATCTCTTTGGGATACACAGTTGCCAAACTGATATTACTAATGCATGGCTTTGTCTATGCCACTCTTTTGCTCACAAAGTTTCAGTGGCTTCCCATTGCCTCCGGGATAAAATAAAACCATTGGCTATTGGAAGCCCAGACCTCTTTTACATTATAACTCCTCATATATACTATGCTTTGACCAAACTGGTCTATTTGCTGTTACCCATGGACAACATTCCATCTCCTTCACAGGCTGATCTTTCCCACGCTTGTAATGATTTCCCTTCTTACGACTATCTTTTAGGATCCCCTCTCTTTTAAGCCTTAGCTCATGCTGCCTCCTACACAAAGCCTTTCTTGTTCCCCCCAGTTGTTATGTTTTCTCCATAAATTAATTTGAATTTACTTTGTACATATTTTGTAGTCTATTTGTGTACATTTTGTTCTCCATATTTCTCTCTCCATCCCCACCCCCCCCACCTTCTGGGGGCCTGGTTGTAAGTTCCTTGAGGGTAGGGACTATTTTCATCTTTTTTTTGGGGGGGTACTGTATCTCAACACCTAATATGGTAGCTGGCACATATTAGGCAATTAATGAATGCTTGTGGACTCAGTGGTGCCACTGATATGCACATACCCCTTTCTGGGAGAAAGGTCTCATGTACACCAAAATATTGATAGCAGTACATTTTGTGGCAGTACATAACTGGAAACAAAGTAGACCCATTGATCTGGGGAATGGCTAAACAAATTGTGGTATATGAATAGACTGGAATATTAATTTGTCATATGGAACAATGAATATGAGAATTTCAGAGAAGCATGAGAATGCTTATATGAAGTGATACAGAATGATGCAGAAGCAGGAAAATAACATATATGACTATGACAATGTACATAGAAAGAACAAAAACTCAACACGGAATATGGTTATGACCACTATTGTTTCTACAGAAGAGAAAGTTCACTTCCCTTCCTTCTTTAGAGATGCAGGTCTACAAATAAGCCACATTTCACATTCTTTCAGACTCATTTGATGTGTTATTTTAGTTTTGCTGAAGTGCTTTTTTTTCTCTTTTTTTCCCCCTTTGTTATAAAAGATATCTTGCTGGGCATTGAGGGAGAATATATTTGGAAAATAAAAAAGATGTAAAAACAAAAGAAACTAACATGCCTTATAAATCTACCCAGTCACCTTTCTACCTATCTTTTTTTTTTCTTCAGTATTTTTTGGGTCGCCTTTAGCAAGCTGTTGACTTGTTTTTCATGATTTTTCTTGCATCACTCTCATTTCTCTTCCCAGTTTTTCCTCTACTTCTCTTACTTGTTCTCAAAATCCTTTTTGAGCTCTTCCATGGCCTGGGACTGATTCATATTTTTCTTGGAGGCTTTGGATGTAGGTTTTTTTTTTAAAATAAGGTATACCCATTGATGGACATTCCAATCATGAGTTTCATCCTACCAAATCTTGGTGATACATGCAATCAACTTTGCCAATTTCAGTAGAACCTCTAGCTCATCTTTCTTGTTGCCCAAATTTTATGCAACTGCATTTAGACATTTGAAGCTATGGGTTTGACCACTGGCTGCTTTCTTGAATTTTGCCTCTTTTAATTGTCTGGGTGTCTGAACAGCTACTCTTATTACATTGCATCTACTCTCTATGGCATCTGGTTTGGTATATACATGCATTCAATTTCCTTCTTTCCCCTCCCCAATGGATAAAATAGAAAGAGTTGTCCAGTTGTTATTTCCTGTTTTTTGTCCAACAATCTAAACGCCTCAGTCTGGCAAGCTAATGCTAAGATAAATAAAAGTACAATAAAAGTATTTTTTAGAATTGGAAACAAATGTATCCTGTGGTGTCAGCTGGGCTTGAAGGTAATTGTTATTAAATCTTAACACAAAGGTATAGCTTTGAATTAAGAAAATACTTACATGAGAGAGCAGTACATTTGCTGGGTCTAGTATGTCAAGCCAGTGAAGAAATCTTTGGACAAAAGACTACAAACAAACAACAAACAAAAACAACAAACAAATCAAAACAAAAAACATTAGAAAAGTATGGTAAAAATAATAGCCAACATTTACATAGTGCCTACTATTGGCCAAGCACATTACAAATATTAGCTCATTTGATCCTCACAACAATCCTGAAGGTAGTTGTTACTGTTACCCCTATTTTACAGAAGAAAAAACTGAGACAAATAGGTTAAGTGACCTGTCCCCTAATGGTCCTGATTCCAACCCCAGAGCTGTATCCACTGTATCACCTAACTGCCCAGATGCCGTTAATAGCATTAGAAAATGAGCAGATGGAGATATTTCTTGATTACTGTCGAATGTCTAAGCTGAAGTGCCTGGACTGTGTGCGTGGATGGCATGATCAAGGTCAGAGAGAGCCTCAAGGATCCCACTGGAAGTCTGGAAGCAAAGAAGGAGTTTTTTCCTTATCTCCTTGATCTCCAAGCTAATACTAATGCTTACTTCGCAGAAGGTAGCATCTGGGAGTAAATCCTAAGGGGGCAGAAAAAGAGGAAATCCCCAACATCCTAAGATAAAGGATTTACTAGAGAAGGGTGATGGTGTACCCAGCTGAGTCTAGAAGAGGCTCTGTCACAGATGACATTCAGAACTGGACGTTGTGAGTTTTAAAGCCACCTAGTCCAATCTCATTTACAGATGAGGAAACTGAGGTCCAAAAAGAAGGCTCTAATTTGCACAAGGCTGATAAATGACAAAGCCAGGGTTCAAATCCAGGATCTATCGCTACAAATCGAGTACTCTTTCCATACGACCATGCTTGGGAGGGGCTTCTAAAACATTTACTGGTCCTTTCTCCAAATGGGTTGGCCCAAGCCTTAGCCTGTCTTGCGCACTCAGAGGATGAGGTACTCCCTCCCCTACCCCCCACAAATTCCTGACTTGAGCTGGTGTTGACTCAAGGCGAGCAAGGGAAGCTGGGTGCCCTTGAGGCTGGCCCCTAATGGGTCCTCTAATGCAAACTGCACAGGGACAGGGGTGACGGCCCCTCTGCATGCACCACTCTTTCCCGTCGACAATCCCACCCTGTCCCGGCTCGGCATCTGCTCTGTACTTGGCTTTCTCGGATCCAGAAGTGCAAGTTCGGTTCCATGAGCGGATTCCTCAGATCGCTGGGCAGCCGGCGCCGGAAGGCTCGGTGGTGAGCACGGAAGAAGGAGGGCTGTCCCCATGAAGCCCGGCCCCTTCCCTTCCCTTGGTGGAGGAGGTGTGGCTCACATAGCTGCCCAGGGCTTCATTCCAATTCCCCATTCGGCTTAGTGGCTACTGCTCCAGTTTGGGCAGAGAGACCGGAAGGAGTGACTTGCAACCTTTATGCCTGAGGGCAAATTCTGAAACTGATAACATCCACTTGCTTTTCTATTCTACATCTCAGTACTCTTTCCACGTCTGGTCGTTGCTACTCTACTCAAAGCTGCCCTAAGCCACTGGGCTGGGAGGCCCCCTCAGCTCACCTACTCCATCCCCCCAAAATATGCAATAGTGATTGTACAGCCTCTGCTTTAAAACCTCGTCCCCCAAAAGGCAGCCCGGTTCCATACCCTCTGTTTGGATATCAGAGTTTGAGCAAGAGGGACGCTGGGCTCCATCCTGTCCCTAGTGCAAAGGTAGGAAATTTCAAGGGAGTGGATAGCACCTTCCTAGAAGTGATTGTTCCTCTTAGGGCTCTGGTGGCTGCTCGAAGGCCTCATCCACCTGTGCCCTGGCTCCCCTCCCCAACCCTGCCCCTGCACTGTCCCCTTCCACTTTTCCCCTCCCAGGAGGTAAAGAGCTACAACAACGTCAAGATAGTTTAAAATTTCTTTATTCTTGATTAAAGAACATACACTGAGTTATTCCTCAGCTAGAAAAATAAATGTTATAATAATTGCCAAAGCTTCATTATATATAACTCCGGGATTCAACAGATATCTTTTACAATGAAATTAAATAGTATTTGAAATGTATCAAGACATAAAGCTCACTCAAACTTCAAATAATAGTAAAATGAACCCTAAATTAACAATCTCTGGTCTGCCCACCATGATTAACTACTTGATCACTGTAAGTTCTGGATTTTCTTTTAAGCAAATATACTTCATACTTGTCTTATACTCAAATGTGCCACGAGTCAAATTAGACCTTTAAAGTTATCTTTAATTACAAGACATTCACTTTATGGAGAAAAAAAGACGATATGCAAAAAAAACAGGTGTGGCAAACATTTAATCAGGATGCTTTGAGGACCTTGAGTTATAGGTAAACAGGTATAGCTGCTTTCCCTTAACTAAGTATCCCTTTGCAGATTTTTAAAAAATTATTAAACTATATGGTAAGTGTAATTTGTAAAGGAGAACTATGAGAAAAGCAAGGATTTGGTACTAAAGGATCCTTTAAACTAGCAACAACTATTAAGGCTAAATAGTTTGGGGGGCAATTTTATGAAAACTGAGCATTTTGGGGTATTCACAGATATAAGCATAACTTGTACATATTCTACACTTCTATATGCAGTAATTTTTTGCATGTTAATGTAGATTCCAATTTGTGGTTTCTTCATAATTTAAAAAGCCATGCAGGTCTTCAATACATGGTGTCCTTTATTTATTCACTTTCTCAAAGTACTCTTTGGAAGCATTTGGAGACGGCTTGATCTGAAAATACACAAATTTTTGTTGTACAATTAGGACTTATTGACAACCTAACATTCTCCTTAGAGATTCAGTTTCTAATTTCAAACCTTTAAAAAGTGATTCAAAGAGCAAGAAAAATAGAACTTTTAAGTACTACCTCATACTTAGCAGATCCACAAAAAAGGAAACTGACAAATATTGGAGGGACTTTGGGGAAAAAGGTACAAAGGGGTACCACTGGTGGGGCCGTGCAGTGGTCCAACCATCTTGGAAAGCATTTTGGAATTATGCTTAAAAAATTATTAAACTGTGACCTGGCTATACCATTATTAGCCCCTCCTCCCAAAAAAACAAAGAAAGAGGAAAAGGCACTATATGTAAAACAACAACAAACATTTATAGCAGCTCTTTTAATGATAGTTAAAAATTGGAAACTGAGGACCAGTCTTTCGATGGGAATGGCTAAAGAAATTGTGATATTATTATGCCTTAAGAAATGATGACATGAAACAATTTTATAGGAACCTAGAAAGACTTTTATGAACTAATGCAGAGTGAAGTGAAAAGAACCTGGAGAACAATTTATACAATGATATTTTTGGGGAAAAAAAGCTGTTCAAAGACTTACTTTGACTAATGCAATGATAAACCATGAGTCCAAAAGAATGAAGATGAAACACTACTCACCTCCTGAGAAGTAAGGAACTTAAAATGCAGAGAGGGACATATATTTGTGCACATGGCTAACATGGGAATTTGTTTTGCCAGACTATGTAGATATGTATTGTGGGATTTTTGAAAATTTGCTTTATGGGAGTTGGGGATGGGGAGATAAGTGGGAAGGGTAGATTAATTTTTTTTAATTACTTGAAAGATAAAAAAAACTTAAATAAAAGAGAAAATAATAGCTTAACATAAAGAAAGTTACAGCAATATTTTCCAAGACCACAGTAAGGAATCCTGCCTGCTTCCTGGCTTCCGCAACATAATCTATGATCAAAATTCAGTCACTTACATAGAATCTTAATTTCCATTCTTAGTTATTCGATATGTAGCCTCACTTTTCTTGCCCTTACAGACTTTTCAGGCCAGGGCTCCTGGCAGCAAAGAGATCAATGAATTCCATTCTTGGTGTATTTCTGAATGCCAAAATGAATTTTAAAACCAGACATACCGTAGGCGAATCTGGTGTCCAATTTGCTGGACAGACCTCTCCATGCACTTCCACAAACTGGAATGCCTTCACCAAACGAAGAGTTTCTTCCACACTTCGGCCCACTGGGAGATCATTGACACTCATGTGTTTGATAACTCCATTAGGGTCAATTAAGAAGAGACCTCTGCATGGAAAGAATTACCTCTTAGTATTTGGGCAGAGAAGAATTGGTCTCTCAGAAATGAATTTTCCTTGTCCTTTTGATGCCTGCAATTCTTAGTCAATTAGTAAGTATTTGTTTTTCAGATTCGCTTTTAGCAGGAAATTAGAATGGATGGCTACAGAAGAGGTCGGGAGTCAATTATAGAGACAACAGTAGAAACCAGGGAAGTGAATGAAATTACAAAAGGAGAGAATATGGCAAAAAGGGGAGAAGATCAAAGAATAACCTTGGGGGAATACCTTTATGTAATGAATAGGTCAGTCAGTGGAATGGAGAGAGGAGAACTAAGAGAATTCACAGAATAGAAAGGAGGCAAGATATAGTGGAAAGAGCACTGGAGTTATCCAAACACTTGGATTAGCATCTCATCTCTAACAATTATTCGTTCTATGACCTTGGACGTGTCTTTTAACATGTATTCAATTCAATCCAAATTTATTAATTGTCTACTAGTGCACAGTGAAGGAGAATATAAACAAAATCAAAAACAGTCTCTGCCCTCAAAAACATTCCCTTATCTGCAAAAGAAAAATAATACTTGCACTACCTATCTCACAAGATTGTTATGAAGAAAGCATTTTCCTCATTAGAGGCAGTGCTGCCTATGAATAGAATGCTTGATTTTGAGTCAGGAAAAGCTGAGTTTCAATTCTCCCTCAGACATGTACTAGCTGGGTAACCTGGGTAAATCACTTAACCTCTCTCAGCCTCAGTTTCCTCAACTGTTAGAACGGGGAAAGTAATAGCACCTCCATTCCAGGGTTGTTGTGAGGACTAAATGAGAAAATGCTTGTACCTTGAAACACTTTATAAATATCAGCTGTTATTTTTATTGTAAACCAGAAAGCAGTATACAAAATGAGCTATTATTATGAGCTGTAACAATACTACTACCTTACACTTATCTGGTATTTACAATTTTTCAAGTGCTTTCACAAACATTATTTTACATGATCCCCACAACAACTCCATGGGTTCAAGACCCACCTCAAAGGCTACCTCCTCCACAAATTCGTTCTTGATACAAATCACATCTGGTTAGACAAGGAGACCTCTTCTGAACCTTCACAGCACTCATTTATAGCATTTATCACATTCTGCCTCCTATTACAGCTACTGGTTCTTATCTTTTCCTGCTAAATAAGCTAACTAATCTTTAGTCTCCCCAGCATTTGACACTTGTTGAATAAAATGATTTTTGAAAGATTAGCACTGATCTCTCTGGGTTATTATGAAGATAAAATGAGATAAGATTTGTAAAGTGCTTTGTGAATCTTACAGCGTTATATGAAAGCTAGCTATTGTTATTATTAGCAATAATAATAATAAATATTTTTAAAATGCTTTATCAAGTTTTATACCTGTAAGAATTAGTGTGGCATTAAGTTACACAGGCAAATTAAGGTTAACAAGTAACAAGTGATTACCTTAATGCAACACCAGGTCCTTCCAGCAGAACACCATAGTCCCGGGAAATTTGTTTGGTTAAATCTGATAGGAGCGCAATATTCATATGACCTAAACCGCCACTCTAATTAAAATTTTTAAAAACTAGTATTATTACATGACTTAACCAACACTCTTGATGCTAGAATATAAAAATTATAGATTAATAAATACATTTACTATTTTAAGGGAAATTCCAAACATATAGTAAGCCATCCTCTCCTTTCACATACCAATTGTTAATTAATGCTTATAAAAAGAAATTCTTTCCAGTTTGCCTCTATGTATAACCTTCCTTGTCAAAATATTATTGGGTAATACTGTGATTTAGAAGGCTTGGATAAAACTATTTGACCTTGGAAAACACATGACCTCAAAAAGATAAAGATGAACTCATCTATTTAAATTTATAAGAAAACAAATCCCAAATAACTAAGGTCATAATGCCCTTACATAATGCCCTTACTTAACAGTCAGTAGGAAACAATTTAAAACTTTACAAATTATTAAAATATTGTTGCATAAATGAAATGATTATATAACATTCTCCCAAATCTTTAAATTCTCCTCTGATTGAAGACTTATGCAGCAGAAGATAAAATAGGAGGAATACTGAAGTAGCAGCCTGTTATTAGTAAATTGTAAGAAAAAGCAATAATTCAAATCTAGTAGCTTAGCTGGAATTTGTTGTTCTAAGTAAATTCTGAAGAAGGCTCTATTATTTTTTTAATTTACAGAAAAGTCTCTAACACCTTATAATACTGAAATTACCTTGAGTATTTGTGCCTATGAAAAGAGAGAAAGGAAATCAATGATAGGAGTAATTTACCCTTTATCTTACTCTCCTGTACTTTTTGTATTTTTCCTATGCTGATTGATGGTCTTTGGATTTAACAGAAGAGGTTTCTAAATATTCATGTAGTAATTTATACAATACGGGAGATTTCTAAGAATTCAACAAGTAACATTTTAAGACTGTCAACATACTCTAACAAAAAATTAGAGTGGCATTCCTTATAGTGGTCTCATGGGCCCTTTTACTTTCTATGTGTCCAAGTCTTTGGAGGACTATTTGAGTAATGGTTAAGGGTAAGATGCTCAAATTCATAGAAATAAGAATGTAAGTGTTATTGTTTTAAGTATGAAAGAAAGTGTGTTGAAGTGGGTAAAATTGTGATTAATTGATGAGCCTAGGAATAAAATAGTAGTCTACAGTTCAGTCATACCTTTCTTGGTGTATTTATCCAGGCAAGATGGCTAAAGTGGGAATCCACTGAAACCGCAACTACTTCACAGTTCACATCGTGAAATTCGTTAGCTTTGTCACTAAAAGCAACAATTTCTGTTGGACACACAAAAGTGCTAGAAGGGGAAAAAAAGGTGATTAGGACAATCTTATATGTACCTCCACTAAATCAGAATTTGAATACAGGTCCTCTGACACAAATCTAGTACTCCTTTTCTCCACATCATACAGTCCCCTAAAATTTGGAAAAACTTCTAGAAGGTTTTCCACTAGTTTATGATTTACATGGTCACAGCAATTCATAAAGATCATTTATGAAGTGGTCATGGAGTCGTGAAGTGTGTGTTGGTAGAATAAGGGCTCATATCAATGAAATGATGGATCATTTGAAGTAATGGACAAATTTTGCATAAATAATAAAAGTACTTAAGTTTTAGAACTAATTAGAAACAGGAACTTTTACAATGATACTTTTGCATATATGAGTTCAACTACTTTAAAACTATAATCTTTATATGGAATGATTCTCATTCCTAAGTGTTATTACTTCTTAACTAGTACCAGACTCAAGCTGTACCCAAGGATGTTACAGATAACACTCTTAAGAAATTCCTCACTCTGGAAAATATGAGAAGGCTCTAATAGGAGAGAGGAGACTATCTGCCTGACCAAGCATAACATAAAAACATTATGGAAATTATACTTACAAATCAAGAGGATAGAAGAAAAGCACCAAATATTTGCCTTTAAAGTCATCAAGGCTTATTTCTTTGAATTCTCCATTGACAACAGCTGTACCCTTAAAATGTGGTGCATGTTGAGTTACAGCAGGCACATAAGTTGAAGAACCTTAAAAATATTTATATATATAAATTACTATTGGAGATCTGAGTTCAAGTCCCACTGGCTGTGAACCCAAAAGTCATCTACCTTTCAGTGCTTAAGGAAACCATTCATTAATAATTAATACAGATGTCAATCAAGTTTCAGCTCAAGACAAGTCTTCCTTCCATAAATAGGTACACACATATATGTTACTAGACAAAGCTTCCAAAAGATTTTTCAAGGTATTTAAAGTCTGACTTTAAGAACTTTCTATATAAAGGCTAAACTTACTAACCTGCTCCTGCACAAGTTAAGTAAATTCAGTTATATTATACTTATATACACACATTTTCAAAGCCATTAAAAAATTCTTTATATTTTTGAAATTTGATTGTAGCAAAGCTCATAGCCTATGGCATACAATATGAGTCTCAAAATGAATTTCTATTTTATGTTGAATATGATGGATGTTTGCAAACATTTACAATATAAATAATAAAATACTGAACCGAAAAATATTGAGGGCTCAGCTGCAAAACCTGTAACATCCACCCAAGAAAACTGACATTTAGAAATGTGTCATTTTCTACTTTTGTCCCAACAATGGAGCATAAGGGAGAGAAGGACTTACTGGTGCTGAAAGAAAATCTTGAATGGGTAGCACTCATGGGCATTATGTTGGCTGGGAATGTGTTTCTATCAGCAACAGGCCTAAAGGCTGCAGAAATGCCCAAGGGAAAGAAGTTCACATGCTGAGTGACCTGTTAAGTGAAACATTATTTTTCTTATTGCTAATTAAGGAAACACACACACACACACACACACACACACACACACACACAATTCTGTTGTAGGGCTAGAATCAGGAAACCAGCAGTAACTTAGAGAAAAGTGATTATAGGGGACCTAACATCTCTAAATGCCCCTGGTCCCACTGAGCAATTCTAATTAGTAAAAAAGAGCTTATCATTTTTCAGTTCTCCAAACTTTTAACGTCTTTCTGCCGTACAAGACAACGCAGAGAAAAGGGATCTGTTACAAAAGGGGTTTTTTGTTGTTCAGTAACCCAGTTTGGGGTTTTCTTAGCAAAGATACTAGAGTGGTATGCTATTCCTTCTCCAGCTCATTTTACAGATGAGGAAACTGAGGCAAAATTAAGTGACTCACAGGGTCACACAGCTAGTATGTGTCCAAGGCTGGATTTGAACTCAGGAAGAGGAGTTTCCTTCCTGACTTCAAGCCCAGAGCTCCAGCCACTGTGCCACCTAGGTGCCCCTAAGAAAAGGGGTACAGCATTACCAATAGACAGTGCTTGCTAATCCAGCACCCCAGTCTAGAGCATTTTATTTATTTAGGCAGCCTTCTAGGCGTTATATTCTGAACACAGGCCTATTTCTATACAAACAATAGTTTTAATTAGGAAAAGAAGACCTTTCCAAAATTCCCTTGTGGGCAGAAATTGTCATTTTGTATCCTAGGCATCTAGCACAGTGCCAGCCATATAGTGCCTGTTGAATTAAACCCTACTAATAGGCGAGAAAAGGTCAGGCATTTGTCACATTGACCTATCTGGGCTGTTCCTGGCAAAAGGATCGTTAGCAGCAAAAAGGGAGTGAAAAGAGAGATAGCAGCAGCTGTAGATTGTGTACATGAGAGAAAAAATGGAAGGGGGAGGGGAGAGCTAAGTAAGAGGTAAACTGGATTAGGAGAAAGAAGGTAAAACAAGATTGGGGTAGGGTGCCGGATTGAGACCCAGAAAGGGCGGATAGGTATTGCCCTACGGCATGGGGAGGAATGAAGTGGCATGGGGGGATGGGCACTATTTTGAGGGCTAGTCATTGCTCTGGGAGCTAGAGGAATGGCACGGATAGGGGGCAGGAGGGGAAGAGGGCAAAGGGGACGGAATTGGAAGGAGGGGACTGGCGCTGCCTTAGCAGAGGGCCGCTCTCTGTTCCTGGCATGCAGGCAGGTGGACAGCGCAGGAGGTCTCTATCTAGTGCCATGGGGCGGGCAGCGACCCTCTCAGCCCTGTTCTGCAGCCAGGCCCCGGGGCTGGACTTTTCTCCGGGCCGGAGGAGGAAGCGTGAGCCAGTATAACAGGGAGACCGTCTCCCGGACCCACGCCGCCTCCATCCCTCGCCCCCGGCCACTCACCGAAGCCCGAAGTAACCTTCCCAAGGAAGCCGCCATCTTCCAAGCGTGGGGAGGGCCTGCGACTCGCGGGGAAATCTAGGAGAGGCGGGACAGGGGCGTGGTTTTGGGGCCAGGGGCAGGGCCCAGGGATGCTGCGGGGTGGGTGCCGGGGTGTGCTCAGATCCACTGAGGCCAGGCCACTAATTCAAGGTTAGAGGAGGGCCCGAGGGTCAGAGAGTGAATGTAGGATGGAGCAGGTTGGGGTGGGCTGCGGGCAGGACACTGGAGGAAAGGGTCACTGAGCTAGGACCAGCGCGGGGCCAGAGAGCAACCCATTCCAGGGCCAGAGGGTGGGAGGAGGGGCATGCTGGCCACGAGCCGCTGGAGGTGGGGCCGAGGCGGAAAGAGGGCCCAGGTCTGGGGGGCGGGTCCAGAATCCTGGGACTGGGGTGAAGGTAATTGGGTGAACCTGGCGCTGGAGAGGGAGAAAGTGGAGGGGGAAGAAGAGGCTATTTCTCGCCTTTTTTCTAGAGCTGCCCATTTCAACCGGCCTCTCCTTATCTTAAGTCCCCTTTTCTCCCCTAAGTCTTCAGGTTGCCCTACAGTCCCATATCTCTCCTTTTCCAGATCTGCCAGGCCACAATACTGCCTTACTCACACTTTTTTTTTTTACTACTTCCTGAACTTCAGACCCTCGCACGGAGTAGGCAGTCTGTAAACGTTTGGCAAGTTGAATTGTATCACATTGTCTTTCATAGTTTCCCGACTGTGAATTTTATCTACTGAGAATATTGTGAAGTCTGCCTGTCAAGTAAGCAAGTATTTAGTGCACACTGCCAAGGCCTTCTGGGATACAAAGTATAATTACAAAAGTGTGTCATTCAATTCCACCTGGTTGCCAGACCCTGCTCTAAATGGTGATCTTGAGTAAGTTTCTTCCCCATTCTGGGGTTCAGGTTCTCATAAGTGAAATAAGGGACTAGATAATAATTAACAAAATAGTAATATCAATATTTACATAGCGCTTCACAGTTTTCTTTAGCAGTTCTCTGAGGTAGACATATCAAAGAGCCTTTTTATCAAAATTTAATTCAACAAACATTTATTAAATACCTGTTATATAAAAGTCCTTGTGCTAGGTGCTGTGGGGTATGCAAAGAATAAGAAACTAGGATGACCAATTTAATGCCTTTTTTTAAACAACACAAAAACTTTCAGTTTGTAATTTGTCCTTTTGCAGCAATCCCTTAAGTGATTTGGCACTGAGTTCACAAGATTTTGATACTATTAATTTTTCTTTTTTTCCCCAGATTTTTAAAACTTAAATTTTATTTTCCAGTTAACCAGAATTCACTTTCTCTCCCTCCCACCTTCCTCCTCTACTGAAAAGGAAAGAAAAATAAAGCGCTTTTAACATATATATGTAGTCAAGCACAACAAATACCTGAATTAGCCCCCCTCTCCCTCCCTCTCTCATTTTCTCTCTCTCCATATATGTATATGTGTGTGTATATATACATGTCTCAATCTGTACCAGATGGCTCTAGAGGAGAAAGTGAGGGTGGTGACCTTGCACAGCCCTCCCTCACTCAAATCAAAGTCAGTTGCAAGGCATGTCATCATCTCCCCGATGTTGTGGTCCTCTTTGAGAATGAAGGACAAACACAACATATGAGCAGTCCAAGCTTCCTGAATAGAGACCCAGCTGGCCAGTTCCGATTGGGTGACTCAGCTTATGTCTCTCCCTTTCCCCCCTCCTCTCCCCTTAAACCCAATTCACTATGGAGCTCATAGATTGGACAATAAGTCCCTGCCCAAGCACCACTTAATAGTTTCTTTTGGGCACTCCTGGCTCAGAGTGAATGTAAGTACTAACTGTTTCTCTTTTGGCCAGCAACCCTGAGGGTCTTCCCCTCCCAGTTTGATTTTTTTTTCTTTTTATTAAAGAGGCCATCCTTTGAATCACTTCTTAAAGAGCCCTATTCACTCAAAGTGAGAATGTGAAAAGACCTTAGCTTAAAAGGGTCAAGGTCTCCCACTGCATCCAGGGCCATCTCCATTCGTCCTGATGAATATCTGGCCACTGGACCCAGATGGCTCTGGAGTAGAAAGTGAGGCTAGTGACCTTGCACAGCCCTCCTTCACTCAAATCAAAGTCACTTACAGGTCGTGTCATCATCTTCCTGATGTCGTGGTCCTCTTTGAGAAGGAAGGACAAACATAACAATCTGTACTCTGATCTATCACTTCTCTGTAAGGAGATAGCATGTTTCATGGTGAGTCGAGTGGAATCTTGGGTGATCACTGTACTGATTAGAGTTTCAAAGTTGTTTGTGTTATTAATGTTGTTGTTATTGTATAAATTGTTCTCCTGTGTCTACTCACTTCAGTCTGCATCAGGTCATATAAATCTTCCCAGGTTTCTCTGAAACCATCTTTTCATTATTTTTTACAGCACCAATGGCATTCCATCCCATTGATTTGGCATAACTTGTTTAACTAATCCCCAATTGATGGGTACTCCAGCAGTTTCCCATTTTTTTCCCATCTCCAAAAAAGAGCACATTTTGTATATTTTATAAAGGCAGCTGGCTGGCACATTTGATAGAGTATTAAGCCTGGAGCCAGAAGAACTGAGTTCAATCCAGCCTCAGATACTAGCTAGCTGTGTAACATAACAAGATACAAAATCTCTGTTTGCCTCAACTGTAAAATGGGGATAATAATAGCACCTCCCTCCCAGGGTTGTGCTTAGCACAGTGAATAGCACATCATAGGCACTCTCTAAATGCTTATTCCCTTTCCCCTTCTTTTTTTATGGGTCTTTTCCCTCCTTCTTCGATCCCTTTGGGGCATAGACCTAGTCGTGCTAATGCTAGGTCAAAGGGCATGTACAATTTCATAACTTCTGGGGTGTAGTTCCATATTGCTTTCCAGCATGGCAAGACCAGTTCATAACTCCAACAATAGTGCCATTTTCCTCCAGCACCTCCAGCATTTGTTATTTTCCTTTTTTTGTCAACTTTGCCAATGTAATGGATGTGAAGTAGAACTTCAGTGCATTAATGTTTGACCAACTTGGTTAGCAGTTTATTATAGAAGTTAATTGCTTCTTACTGATGTCATATTGTGTGTGTGTGTGTGTGTGTGTGTGTGTGTGTGTGTGTGTGTGTCCCCTCCCTTCCTCCTCCTTCCCCACCTGCCATTTCTGGTAAGTTTTGATTTTGTTGACTTTGCCTTTGTAGTTTATCAGGGGATATAAGATTGGGCAAAAATAGATACAAATGATAGGGGAGTGAGGCCACTGGGTATGCTTATTAGAGTTTTGAGATGCTTCCTACATCTCCTCAAAGGATATAAAGTACTATGAGGATTGAGAGGAGGAAATGACTTTTAAGCTAAGCCTTAAAGAATTTCAGGAGGAAGGAATGGAGTATTCCAGACTTACTACTGTCTTCTCTCTTCCTGGCCTGTGAATCATCTTGGATAATCTGTTCTGTCTGTCTGTTCCTTGTTGAAGACGCTCCGTCCCTGTTCTTGTACTGTGTTCCCACATCTCCTGTCTTCAAACACAAGTATGGACTGTCACCCATACCTGAAAACCTTCCAGATCTCTGCCTCTCAGAATCTTATACTTTCTTCAAGGCTCTGTTAGTGCTACCTTCTCCACATGTCATTCTTTGATCTCCCCAAATAGAGGAGAACTGTGCCTTCTCAAATTTTTATTAGCATGTCTTTAGGCCTCTCTTTTGTTCCACTCTTATCATATCCTACAAAGTATCAGACTTATTTGTGGGCCCATATTCCCCCCTTTTCTCCACTGAAATTCCACTCTGGTTCATTATCCTGGTGTGGAAATTATACCTATATTCTCTACACCAGGACTCAAAGTCTGGCAGGTACTAACTACTGTGCTAGAAAGCCCTGGAGTACAGGTCCAGTGACGGACCTTATGTCTGCTGCTTGAGGATTAACCTAGCTAAATTTGGAAAGGCTAAGCAGGTTGGGCTACCTAGTTGGACTCAGGGTGATGAATTTTTCAGCTATAGCACCCACTTAAAGACCATTTATTAAATTGTAGAATCCAAGAAGGAGAATAAAATGAAAAAAAAATGGATGGAGTGATAGGTCAGGCCTTATTGCAGTAAGCAAAAATTTTGCATTTTACACAATAGACAATAGGAAGTTCCCAGATATTTTTGGGGAGGAGAGTGACATGAGCAGACCAGTGTGTTAGAAGATAGATGCCTATGATCAGACATTGTCTTTGTGGGGAAGATGAACTATGTAAATTGATTTTGGCTGCTACTGAAATGGATGTAGATTTCAGGGTTTTTTAGGGGAAAGGGGAGGAGATATTCTAAAACAGCTGGCTTGCTTTTATTTAGGCCCTGTTCTCTGTCAGATGGAAAACAGTTTAACTTCTACCTCTTAAATCTGTCCCTTGTGTTTTTGAGACTTCTGTCTAATTTATGGCTTCACTTCTATCTTAAACATGGATTGCCTTTATTTATCTACTCTATTCCTTGCTTTCTCCCTTAATATAAATAAAGTTAGAACATTCTGTGATTCAAAAAAAAAATCTCAATAAATCTCAGCCAATAAACTAGTTCATCTTTGTTACAGGCATTCTTATCATCTTCTACAAGGCATTAAATTATGAGTCTTAAGCCAAGTGAAGAGGCCAAATAGATCAGTCAGTTCCTGAAGCTGGATTACCAGTAAAACATGAGACCATAAATTTAGAGCTAGGAGAGACCTTAGTGGCGCTTTGGGCCAATTTTCTCTTTATAGATGAAGAAAGTAAGACCAAGTGAATTTAAGTGATCTACCCAAAGCCAAAGTCCCAAGTAGCAAAGCAAGCATTTTGAAGACTGGCCCTTTGACTCCAAAATCATTGTGCTTTGTTTTTTTTCTCCAGTAACATGAGAATGAGCTCTTACTGGTTATCTCTATTAATGACGGAACACTGAGGCCAAAGGGTTGTTGTGAATTCATGGAAATCCAAAGTTCAGAGTGACCTTAAAAGTCCTACTAGGCCAACCTGTACCTGAAGGAGAATCTTGTCAAGTGGTTTATCCCACCTCCATTTGAATACCTCCAGTGCCCTGGAACTCACCGTTTTCT